GGCTGAGGTTGCGGGCTCGGACTAGGGTTAGGTTGCGGTTGTGGTTGCGGGCTTGGCGCCGGTGCCTTGGTGGCCGGCGTTTTGCACGTGAGCGCTTGACCAACGCACTCGGCGACCGCGCAAACATCGCTCGCGAACGGAAGCGTGCACACCATCCAGCAGTCGATGCCTTGCTGCTCCGACTGCTTGACGCAGCACTTTTCGGCCTTGCAGTCGTCGGCTGTGTGTTCGTTGTTACACTGAAACATGCACTCGTCCTTGGTCTTGGAGCAAGACGGGCCGGGTGCCCAAATGCCCACGGTGCACGCGCCGTCCATGGCGACAAGGCTGCGACCGATGGGGCACGCCAACGACGCAATGCCGCTGTCTTCGTTGCGCAAGTGGCGCGCGATCGATTGGCCATACGCATCAAACGTCATGCCCGTGTTGGCCATCTCCACGTGGCCCTGAAGCAGCAGCATGCGCCCCGAGAAACCGCGCAGCACCGACGACGGCGCATTGCGCGGCATAATCATCCCATGAAGGACGGCGGGAAACGCATGGCCAAAGTTGCCCCAGTCGCGCAAGCCCTGGCCGACCATGATGACAAGCTCGTCGTCGCGTAGCACCGGCCGGACGCGTCGATTGTGTTCGGCCGCGAGTTCGATCACGAGACCTGCGTCAGGGTTCGGGTCCGGAATCGCAACGACCGAGCCGTCCGGTTGGCGATCGTAAAAGAGAGGCGCCGACGTGAGCAAGAAGAGACCGTTGTCCGTGTGCATCTCGAGGGACAAATCGTCATCATTCTTTGAAATCGTCTGGTTGGTCGATGGGTTGGCGTAGCCGTGAAAGTGGTCGAGGTGCTTGCCATCCGCGACAACGGCAGCAAGGGGCGTCGCTGCCGCCGTCGCATTCGCATCGAGGGCCACGGCCACCGTGCGCGCGGTTGCGTCCAAGAGCGTACTGTAGGCATCGTACGCAGCTGCGTACGTCGGGCACTGCGCTCGAAGCGCCTCGGAAACGCCGTCGTGGACACTGGTGCTAAATGTCTGTTTCTCTGTGAGATCCCGGAGCTGCTTGTAGAGGCGGTCGGCGAGCGGCACCGGCGACGAGAGGCAAGCGGCGGCCGAAGCCATGTAGGCCTGGCGGGTCGACGCAAACTGCGGGATGTTGCGGATGGCGGCAATGCCGTTGGCTTGAAGAAGGGCCACGAGACCGCTCGGTGCGTTGATGTCGACCGACGGAAGCGTATACGACGGGTACTCGCTGGCGACGACGGCCGCGACGGTCCATGCAGCGACGAAACCTCGCATTGCGTGTGTTGGTTTGCTGGCAAATGTGCGAATGGCGGGATCACCAATCACCTCCAAAGGTGAAGCGACACGGCACGCTTCTGGATGGTAGAACTGGGTGGCCAAATGGAGCCTTTGCACCAAGCCTTTTACAAGCCCGAGGAAAATCGTCCTCCACTTGTTCTGGCTGGCAGAGCTCTGCAAGGTGCCCGTCTGCATAATTACATGCGTATCGGCACGACGAGCATCGCAGCGCCATGGACGGTGCCGACAGTGTCCCGAGATGAGTGCGTGGTCGGCTCGCCCATGACCTGCAACACCTGTCCGACCTTGCTGCAATTGTTGAATGTGCGAAGTTCGAAGATGAAAATAGGTGGACCGTCCCAGGTGAAGCGTATTTTTGTGACGGCTTCGCACCACAAGCGTGCACCGCCAGAGCGAGCGACACGGGTCCTTCCTTTCCAGTTGGGCCCTTTCGTAACAGCCACGGAGATTGTGTAGTTGCATCTATAACTAACTTGGCTTGGCTTTGACGTCCAGACTTGTCAAACAAGGCTATTCAAGAAATCCAAAACGAGAACAAAACATTAGCACTTGGCAGCACATCGCGCGCTACACGGCCGAGAAGATATAACGTTGTTGCCTCGGTCATTGGTCCAATCGTAGCCGCAGCTCCGACCGACGTCGCAACTGCATTTGAGGCGGTCCAGCCAGCACCACATGCTTTGCGCGCAGCGGACGTCAGCCTGGCCGCAGCACGGCGACGGCTTTCATCGACGCGACTGGCTCGCCACTGCTGTGCGCCGAGCAGCCAAACCGGCGGAACGGAAAATGTGGCCGAGGCAACCAACGACCAGGAGCAAAATATCGACGCCGAGTGCCGCAGCGTCCTCAAACGATGCACCAGGCCATGAAATCAGGGTCTCG